ATATATATACTGAAAACATTGAGCACTATCGCAATGGCTATAGGAGCTTTATACAGTAAGTTATTTTTACTATCTAATGGCATAAGAATGTCCATCTAGTATTGCCTTCTTTAGTGAATAACAATCATTAAGTAATACAGTACTGTATGTCATCAGCGAGTGGATAATGCCCAGCGTGTAGCAGAACAGTACTTACTATAGTACTATAGTAAAGTACAGTATTACCATGGAGGTATGGTATTACATAAAACGAAGTGTGCTGAGGTGGCCTACTGTATGTGGAAAGGCATGCGAGAGCCTACCGCGGGCAGAGCCGTCCACGATCGTCGAAGAATTTTTGTGCATTTAGATTTTAAATAAAATTTAATCTAAATATAGTTTAACATTCGATAATAATTTACTAAGAGTCGTATTCAGATTAAATACTGACTCAAAATGTAATGTAGGCCTAGTATTTCAAAAATACATTGATCTTACGGCTACCGTGTGGGTCCATAGATTTCTGTTCGCAGGAAGTACTAGTCAGCCTAACGCTTTTACTTTACCGAACTTGTAAACAATCACTCAATTAAATATCAACGACGATGCTACAAAAATCGTGCTGGTAAATGAGATAACTTTAGTATAAAATCGTGTGTATACATAGTATATATTTCTGTTACATTATATATTTGAATACGATTTTTCGCTTTAAAATTTTAGTAATAATCGAAGGGAGGAAAATGTTGAAAAGCGTGTCCCGAATCTACCGTTCGGGTCTACTATTACTTATTACACGAGATAATGACAGCAATTATGCCTGTGCGTAAAGGCCAGATTTGTTTGAACACTAATAATCACATTTTACGAAGAACGTAATGTTTAGTTTTAGATATACACGATACATTACGGTTGCACTACTGTTTTACAATGACACTGTGTCTCGGCACATGCTACAGTCATAACAGCTGAGAGCCCATTTGTCTAATTTACATAAGCTAGATGGCTCAATATAGAATATAAAGATTGCTAAAAAGCAAAGTAGAAAACAAACAGACGCTCGGGTGCTAAATAGCTAAAAGCGTTTAAGTTCCATTTTAAAAATTATGGTTTTTGACACTGGAATATGTCTTAAATATTTATCTTAATCTTCGTTTACTCCATAATTACATTAATATATTATAATCAAAAGGCCTAAAAACTTTTGGTGAGTTCTTATTCGCGTGCTTCTAGGCCTGTGTATTGTAAGGTATAATGTTTGCAAAACGATACGTCAATTTGAGAGAATAAGTCTTTAATGATTATAAATAAGGTAGCTACATCAATCGAGAGTAGATATATTATAGCGAATTAACTAGAAGTGTTTAAAGTGAGGAAATGGCAGAAGTTGGAGCACGGTGAATATATATCTTTTAGCTGAGACAAAATTGGTGATAACTCACACGGGGATTGGATTTTATGTTGCGATGTACATATATCTCTTGACAAAATGAACGACTTTCAGACAAATGACGGTAAGTTTTTCTTATTATGTGTGAGAAAAATCACTACTGCTTAATATCTAGACTCGCCTTAACTTACTCGAAGGCAAACGAACATTATTAAAACATGTAAATGAAGTGCGATATTGCCCTTGCTATATTACATTCGATAACACCAGATAATTTCTGTTAATGAGTCGATCAACCACTAATTGGATAGCATTTGTCAGGACTAAGCAATAAGTTGGAAAAGAATTAATTTGTCAATGAAAATATATCCTTTCTCGGTTATATGCAGTAAAAGGTAATGAGGCGGTAAACAATAACCATTAATAGATGGACGAGTAAAAACAGAGACAATATTATACGTAAACTTACCAGTACTTGAGTGGACTCGTCTCATCCATGGATAAATATGCTCGTTGTGGGGTGATTGGATTCCGGGACTTACTTGTTGAATTCCAGGTGAGTTCTGACTACCCTTAACTTCTGTGGCTGTCTGGCAGCCCCTTGGTGGGGTCACACCATGACAGTTGGCCATGCCGCCTTGACTTGGGACAAATCTTTCCGAATTTGTTGTTTCCGGTAACGTCTGAGGGGTATGACTTAACCTCGGCGGATTGCTTAAGTTTGATGATCTATTCATAGCATAGAAACTACTATCAACTTGTGTATTGTAGTTATAGCTATAGTTCGATACAGTGATCGGCGGCGTGGAGGCCTGGTAGTGCTGAGCCCCCTCCGTGAGGTACCGGCCCTGCCCCTGTAACTCCGTTCCATGGTGGTAGCCACCGTTCGCTAAAGAGTGTACAAAATACGAGCTCATTTGTCTTGTTTCACTGGGTGATTTAAAGCCTTGAATTTTATTGCAGTTTGTCTGATACCTCTGTTGGATCTATGTATAGTAAGCGCTTTTGACTGCTTCAGATAGGTCACCTGTGAAATCCAAATAAGGAATAATTGTTTGAGCACGTGACTTAACGGCCAATGACTGCGTCGATACGGCATTTATTATGGCGCACGATACGCAGATAAAGTGTAATTCACACAAATATCTTAACAATAAAACACAATATGACTTCTACAAGTCGAAACAAGTAATTACAATTCTTTAATATTTGAGCGACATGTAGCCATATTTGGTAATGATTTCTTTAATTTTTAATTATCATTCAAGAAACAACAGTCGATTAGTGTGTGATTATTTCAACAATAATTACACACTGTTTTGTCTGTATGCGGTTCGTAAAGATTTATTTCGTTTCCATTATTATATACTAAGAAACTCTTTTGAAAATGGTTGGGTAAAAATGATATAAATTGTCTTTGGTAGGTGATTAATGAACTAATGCCCTCTTTTTGGATTAGTGTCATATTAACACATAAAAAGGGTAGTGACTTTTGCAATGGAGACGTGAACGGACATTATATTAAAAAGGAACAAAATACGCGATTACATAGCCAGCCTCTCGCCTTCGTCTGGATTATTTCTAGTTTGCGGTGACTTTATGACAAGGAGTAAGCGTTGCACATTCGCCATCCCGCTAGCTTTGTGTTTCAATAGCCAAGGATTAGAGAGGCAAGTAAGATTCGACGCAAACACCTGCCAACCGAACTAAACAAGCAACGTCAGGTCGCTGCAGCCTTCGATGAAACGATCTCCAAAGCAGAGAAAACAACGGTAACACCGCGGCAATCGCCTGCGTACAACGTGAGGTTAACGTACGCTGGCGTAGGACCTGTGTCTCACTGTGCAATAACAGGTACTGGTCATTTTTAACAAAACCAATACTGTACTGTGAAGGTACTTGACAACTCTTATTAGCTAGCATCGAAGGTTGTAAAGTTCTGTAAGTCATTGAGTAAGAACAACACATCTCATATGAGTAAAGGCTTAATCTATATGAAGATGGTATCAATCGATTAAGTGGTAGAAGTATGAATTAATTTTCAATGGAACCGCAGGCATTACATTAATTTATGATATAACAAGGATTAAACATGCAAATTCATAGTAAGATACATTTATTTAGGGTATATTAGCGTAAGCAGAATTTTGTCTAATTTTATTTTTCTATCTATTTTTAAGATATGCATTGCATATAAGAGACAGATTACATTCGATAACACCAGATAATTTCTGTTAATGAGTCGATCAACCACTAATTGGATAGCATTTGTCAGGACTAAGCAATAAGTTGGAAAAGAATTAATTTGTCAATGAAAATATATCCTTTCTCGGTTATATGCAGTAAAAGGTAATGAGGCGGTAAACAATAACCATTAATAGATGGACGAGTAAAAACAGAGACAATATTATACGTAAACTTACCAGTACTTGAGTGGACTCGTCTCATCCATGGATAAATATGCTCGTTGTGGGGTGATTGGATTCCGGGACTTACTTGTTGAATTCCAGGTGAGTTCTGACTACCCTTAACTTCTGTGGCTGCCTGGCCGCCCCTTGGTGGGGTCACACCATGCCAGTTGGCCATGCCGCCTTGACTTGGGACAAATCTTTCCGAATTTGTTGTTTCCGGTAACGTCTGAGGGGTATGACTTAACCTCGGCGGATTGCTTAAGTTTGATGATCTATTCATAGCATAGAAACTACTATCAACTTGTGTATTGTAGTTATAGCTATAGTTCGATACAGTGATCGGCGGCGTGGAGGCCTGGTAGTGCTGAGCCCCCTCCGTGAGGTACCGGCCCTGCCCCTGTAACTCCGTTCCATGGTGGTAGCCACCGTTCGCTAAAGAGTGTACAAAATACGAGCTCATTTGTCTTGTTTCACTGGGTGATTTAAAGCCTTGAATTTTATTGCAGTTTGTCTGATACCTCTGTTGGATCTATGTATAGTAAGCGCTTTTGACTGCTTCAGATAGGTCACCTGTGAAATCCAAATAAGGAATAATTGCTGTCTCTTATAAACATCTAGATGTGTATAAGAGACAGGCCTAACGCTGACTATTTGTTTGCAGTAGTGGATTCAAGGGGGAGGGGATTATTTACATAATAATGTAAAATTTTTCAAAATTTTAATTTAAAAAAAAAAAAAAGCTATATTAATTTATATTATTAT